ACTCTGTCGACTGGTGCTCACTTACCAGGCTGCTTAGTCTGTGGCAGTTCTGAGTCGGTTCTTGTGCCTTTAGGCATTTCATTCTAGCATGATATTCGTCATCCAGACGCCAGAGATCTTCTTCACTCAGGCCTTCAAGGTCGTCGAACAGAGTCTTCTCGAGATCGGAGCAAATGGGCTTCGCAGTCGTCGCTTCAGCCTCCACCGGACGGCAGCCATTCACGCCGGAAGCCTTGGCGTGACTGGCACTCGCCTCAACAGTTGCGTTCTTTCGGCCCGGCTGCTGCCACTGAATGCCGGCCAGTACGACCTGTTTCAAATGGTCCAGCACCGAGTCGAGCCGGCAGTCACGATCGATCTGTTTCAACAGCTCCTCAAGGTCATCGTAATGGCCCAAAACGTCCGCGTCCACCTGGCCTGACTCGGCCGACCGGCCGGTCCGACGACACTCGGCCTCCGCCAAAGCCAAAGCCTGAGCTGAAGTCGGCGGCTCGGCTATCGTGAGCCGGGCTTGAGTGCTGCTGTTGCCGGCACTGTTGCTGCTGCCACTGCCACTGCTGGTGTCGGTGTTGGTGGCGGTAGCGGTGGCGGTGTTGGTGTTGGTGGCTGTGCCAGATGCAGTCTCGGCGGCCAGTTCGCGCATGCTGAACTGGTAGGCCATGTGCATGAGGCTGGGCTCCAGACCGCCGCGGCCCCCTGCGCCTGGACTGGCCTCGAGGGTGGGCGACCGGGCCTCAGCCCCAATCGGTGGTATGGGGCCCGAGTGCCAGCGCGAAAGGGAGCCGTTCGTCTTCATCGCGGCCTACGCCAGCGACGTGAGAGCCACGACCGCCATCAGGTTGGGATGGCGACTGATCGAGTCCGGAGTGCAGTGGTGCTGGCGCAACAAACGCCAAATGGAGCCAAGACAACCAGGCCAAGGCGGAAGTGAGATGATAATCGAGAATCATTCAACGGGCCCAGCAACATGCTCACACGAACAGTCTGTACCGGTTGGAGCCGGCGATTGCAGCCAGGCTCTCAAGGCCATCTTGCGGGCGAACGGATATGCTGGGGGCCGGAAACAAGGCAACCGACAAATGGAGGTACAGACATGAACACAGACAGGCAGATGGACGAATGAACGAACGAGTGTAGAGAGGAGAGAGTGGGTCTGGTGCCTCGCAGGTCTGTGGACGCCTGTAGAACTTGGTTGGTTAGTTTGGGAGGCGGAGGCCGATGACTAATGCCAGGGCGGTCCGGGGCCGAGGAGGCAGAGTAAACTGGAGGCCCGCATCAAAGTGCCGACTGGAAATCGAGACCTATAGATGCCACTATCTTTCTTTCTCACATTTACTGGTGAATTTCTGTGTCTGTCTGTGTGTGTGTCGGATTCGCGCCAAGTGCATTCGTTAAAATCCCCAAATCTGATTGGTTGAATTTGAGACAAGTCGAATTCCACCAATAGTAGGGCGATCAGTTGTCGAATATTCACCAATCGATGCGAGCCGAAATACAGACTCGCCATTGACACGATGCACCGCAGGATTCCCGGTGGCAGGTTGACTTTACTGCTCACTTCGAGTTCATTTGCAACGCCTCTTTCTGACGCCTTCTTGCACAGACGACGACTACGAGTGGGGATTTTTACTTGCAATTCAAGGCCACTTCTTTAGGCCAATTCGGCCGATTCGGGTTGCACCGCAACTACAACTTCAGGCATTGCATATGTCAAGTCTGAGAGGATAGTGTTACAGTTTGGAGTTGTCAACTGTGTTCGAATCGTCAACTGGACCTTTGGTCTAACAGCTTGTCGCCTTTGTTTGAAGAGCGAAAGATAGAGGACTCAGTGCATTGATTGCATTTTAATCCTGTCTGTCGCCAATCGGGAGACACGAGGGTTCAGTCGACACGACATGGACCCGAGTCAGACCACCTTGTGGTCATGGCACCAGATGTGGCAACCGCTTGCTGGTTGTGGCGCACACCGTCAGAAAAGGAGTTTGGCGAGTTACCCGTTAGGGTGTGCACCTTTTAGTGCAACCCTTTTTTAGTGTAACAATAGCCAAGGCCTTTGTTTGTGGCAGCCTGGCGTTTTGACGATATTTGGCTAGTTTGCACCCAGTTGAGGACAGAAACTGGCGCTAGAAACGATAATACGCCAGGCTAACTATTCTGGAGTCCACACTATGGAACCAAAAGAAATCTCCAGCCACTCGGTGCTCAAAACGCGGCGGATTCTCTGAACGTCTAAGCTTCTGCATGCAGCAAAACTAAAGTATGAACTGTATGTATTCACCCTATTTCGTCTAAGGTGATGAAGGACTGGTAGTAGAATTTTCCCAAAAAGATATGAATTGAGCTGACGTTTCCATTGAATTTCACATAGCCTTGCTTTCCCAAAAGTTGTTCTCAT